ATCTTCAAGGTTTGCAAAATCTATTAATTGTATGTCATTTTTGTGAATTATATCTCAACGATAAATACCATTTATTTATTTATTTATTTATAAATATCTTTCTCGTATTACTTTTATTATTGTTCACACTTTCATTAAAATTAAAATTTCATTTCTATGTTACGATATGTGTGTGCTTTACTATCTGCAGAAACACGAGTACATATTTATGGCATGAGTCCGCAGGGCGCGGGAACAAATAAGTCCGAGGGCCTCTGCAGATGTTAACGCACGAAAAAGGGGTTCTTTAGGGGGCTATGCTGGCTTAGATTGGTTATTCCGCTTAAAGAAACCATTGCTTGTCCGATGCTTTCCACGTCCTACTGCGACGTCATTTGACATTTGAGCCGCGTCACGACAAAACCAACATAATGGGTTTGCGACCAGCATGGATCGAGACCAGCCTGCGCATCCTGATCAGACTGTGCGGATGCGCAGGCTGGTCTGGATCCACGCTGGTCGCAAACTCACTATGTTGGTTTTGTCGTGACGCGGCTCATATATGTTTTGATAGGACATACATTGGATTAAGCTGATTTTTTTTAAATTGCGCCCTGAGTTACGCCAATTAAAAACAAGTTTGCCTCTTTAAAAAAAACCATGCGAGAGGTCTTTTTACAGCTGTTGCAGATTTATTTAGTTGTTCAAATATTAGGAAAGTAAGAACATCTAATGAGTCAAATGGCTTCTGCGAACAAAAGCAACATATCGGCTATTTCTGTCAGTCTCTCAGATTTGGAAGCATCGGCGAGGTGTTCCGAAGTTAAAGAAGCAGCAAAATTTCCACACACGGTTCATTAGGTCATAAAATAGTGATTGGTGATATTGTTACGAAATTGCTCTGTTTTAACAGATATCTGTCTGACACGTTTCCACATTTAGAACTCTATGCGTGTATTGAAAGCATGATTATAAAATCAATTAAAATAAAATTATGCATCATAATTATATACAACAATCTAAAAGCAAATTAAACACTTAAACTACAACAACTCAACTCAACAACAACCACTCTTCAACTCCATTGAACTCAAAGAACCCCAACAAAAAGCGCATGCAGCTAGCGTTCTTGATGTGCAAAAGTGGACTGGCGCGTGACCCACTTGCGGAAAGTAGTCTGCACGATTCCTTGCACGTCCTGAATGCTGCGCGTGCTGACACGCCTTAACAATGTTCAAAATAACGCACAAATAGTTCAGATATAGCGAGTGTTGTGCAATACAAGCATAAGTACAAAAATATATAAATATACATGTTTACTCAATAGCATAAAATTTGTTCAACATTGCACCTTACAAATTCGCAGTATACTGCGTACAGATGCTACAGATACTACAAGTAATAATGTACCCAATACCAACATGAATTGTTGAAAAAGGATTGGGTCTAAACCTTATAAATTCTTTGTTTTTCAGTATTCTAGCTCCACTTAAACCCAATCAACGGTGAACTTGTTTTTGATTCAAAATTGAAATCTGACCTTTTGCATGTTTTGATTTTGCAGTCATTCGTCGCTAAAGAAGTCATTTCAATTTTGCATAAAAAACAGTGCAACTACGTGCAGCATAAACTTGCAAAAAGTAAATATATTTGTACTTTTTATGGTATACAAGATTGATACACTCACGTTTGATTAACTATTCTTTAAACTTGTCAACAGCTAACAAATAAACTGAGAAAATCCCTTTTAAGGAGAGATTTACCAGTGGCCAATATTCTAAAAATAGAATTGCTGATAAGCACTGACCATAGCAACCGTTGCTGGTCGTACATCCTCTTTGTACTACCTAGTCCTTTTACATAAGAAAACTATGGTGTGTATGTCTATTAAGAAATAAATATGAGCTCTGTTTCAATAAAGTAGAGGTTTTGATGCTAAAGCATCATTAGTCCCCGAATAGAAAAATGATTGTATTATCATAAATTCAAGAAAATATCAGTTAAATGGTTCATGAATAAAGAAAAGATTAAACAATATGTTGAGTAACTATTTATTTACAATAAAGACATTATATGTGAAACAAACTTGCTTAGAAATATTGTCATTTTTTAAATCAGCAAAAAATAACGTACACTTAATTCATCGTAAACTTAATTCATCGCGAATAAAACAGGTGATTGAAAATAATTAAAGTAAAGCATTAACATTAAGCTTGCAAAAGTGACTGGGAAAATATGTTTAATTATTGTAAGAAACGATGCAATTCTATTGTACTTTTAAAGGTACTGACTACAAAATTATATAAACAAAACAATCTTTCTTATCTCATATTTCCTATTTATTTATTTTTTATTGAAAATAAATAAAACTGTAGGGAAAAGAAATCTTCAAACAATTATAAAAAACTGTAGGCAAAAGAAAATATTCGAACAATTATAAAGACATTGTTCAGATATTTGTTATAATATGTGGCCTTAAAAAAGTTATAATTAGTTAACTACATCAAATATATAATGCCTAGCTTATAAGTATGATATAGTTTTAGAGGTGTACCAGTATTCTGAAATAAATTCACGGAGGTCATTATCATATCTACCTGATCCCAGATTCTTTTCCAACCACAGATGTGACACATGACTATTTTGAGTAATTATGTTGCCTTTTCTTTTTTATATTGGCTGCTGTAAAACATGTTTAACTGGGGATTTTGTCAAACTTTTTAAATAAATTAAATTTATCCCAAACATTTTCAAATATCACCTGTTGGTCAAACACCATTTTAACAGTCAATCTTTTGAAATATAAAGTCAATTCAGCTCAAATTGACTATGAAAATATGAGCATAATGTCACTTTAACTTGCTAAATACTTAAAAACTGAACATGAACTAAGCATAAAGTTTTAAATTATATTTATGTTAACAACACTCAGTTTTTGGTCTTAAGCATACATTTAACAATCATGGCTGAAATATAATACCCTTGAATCATAAAAAACATATTTACATTGACAGGGTGAAAAAAAGGGAAAATGAAAATGAAACAAAACTGAGCAATTAGCAGGCATATTTCACATAAAAATGATAATTCATAGAACACATGTAGCGAGTTGTTTCAAGATTGATATAGACATAAAAATTAAAGTACATGTAGATGTTTAGCAAAAATTAAACCCTTTATAACATCACACTTATCTTATATATAAAATATATCAATACTATTTAGAAAATAGTTTGTATTTTTTTTCTTCATTTTGAATATTACAAAAAATATATGTTCAGATAATTCAGATCTTTAAAACTTTGCCCCAGGAACATCATCTTATGTTAACTTTACAGAAAATGCTATCATTGTTTACATGTTGTTTGTACGACCTTCTAAGATTGTGTGTATACGTAGTCCACACAGCAGTTATCAGTGACGTGGTGGTAAATCTCTCCTATAGCTCAACATTTCAACCAAGTGCATGCAACTCTGATATTTTACTTTAGGTTTGCGACCTCTTGTTGTGCAACTTTGCTATAATTAGAACAAACGTGCCTGGGAAAGACCTCTACTTGCCGCGTGATGAGTAGACAAATTCAGAATAGATAAAAACGGAATCTTAAAACGGCAAAAATTGAAATTGTTGCAAACTAGGTTTGAATGAGCTTGTTCATAAACGGTAGATGAAATGGAATTTGAAAGAGGATCAGAGGTTATGAACCGAGACATAGGCTTTATAATTCAAACGTCCGTTTTATTAAGTTTCTGTCGATTGTTTTTTTTTTTTTCGTTTAGAACACACGCTTTCCTTTACCTGAGATCCATACGCCGCTAACAGCACTAACTGTACACATTGAACGTTCAATGATTTCAACAATATCATGTTACAATATTGAATTTTATTGAATCAGATGCTAAGAACTGTGGTCAGCTGCCTGTACTTATCAATGAATAGGATCAGTCAGAGGCTGCAATATTTTCATTTTTTACTGTTTTATGCATCCTTTAAAATATCCGTTTTTTAAGGTTTCATAGTACTGTAGTTGAACATTGAATTAAACGACTAAACGATTAATATTTTTGTGATTAAATCATCATACTTTTAACAGTCATTATCAGACAGAACTGTCCCCTTTGCCTAATTATATATATAAAGAGACACTGACTTATAGCAGTGTGTAACAATGCGTGTTTTGCAATAATGTTACTCTGCATTTCAGAATCCTGCCGGATAAAAGGTGGAACACTTAGGCTTGCTTGTTTAAGAAAATACCTCTGACGCACATTGACACGAAGAGGTGCAAAGCCTCTTACTAATCGGAGCTAGGTTTGTATTCTAGGATTATTTTAGTTGATCAAGCCTTGAATAATCGGTATTTAAATGACCTATGTCTGACCTATACACCATTCTTTGCTTACGTTTAAAGATAAGAAAATATTGAAAAGGCACAATGAGCACTTTAGATTCAGACATTTAGTGCGTAAAACGATAATATACTTAACTGTAAACAACTCACATTTGATAAGGTCATAAAACCAATTTTCATCTATTTACTTAGCAATAGTTTTGCAAAATGTATCTTGAAAAGTGAAATATTAGCTCATAAGTATTAAGTATTCATATATCTTACGGAAACACATCCGATAAGACAAGTGTTTGACGCGCTTCAATCGTATTACATATGAAGATGCAGTATTTGTAAACGATGTCACCTATATACACAAACTTATGCTCTTCATCTTTGGAGGAAATAAAAGTATCTATCTATATACACAAACTTCCTTAAATTTAAGTGGCAATTTTCCAGTAAGGCTTGACATTAAATACAAATCTTGATAAATATAATTATGTACATATAAATTAGTGAGTAGACAATAATTCATTCAGATATCAATAAACTTTTCATAGCCTATTTAAAAGCTAGAAAATGAAATATCTATCAATAATTTTGATTCACCTTTAATTTCCAGAAATAAAATTGATTGTTATAATTATATGCTGCATTGTATTACTTAGACAAATGTGATTATTTTTAAATTACAATGTATAAAATAAAACATTCATTTTTGTTATTGTTTAAGACGTGTACACTTTTAATTTCAGGTTCAAGAACGCTATACAAACAAAGAGAAAACCAATGAACTTTTGAAAGGACAGCGTTGATCTATACATCAATTATTATCGGATACTTACATAGCAATGAGGAGCACAAATGTCCGATATTAATTTTGTTATACTATCATCTTTGAAACAGAATATTTATAATTCATCTTGTGTATGCATGTGTGCTTGTTAAGGTGTTCTAAATTACTACTCGCCATAGTCCAAAATGTCGTTAAATATTACGGACCCGGCTATTACAAATTCGGTTAAAATAAATACGTCTACAACAAGCTCGTCTATAACGGAGTTGGATTTAGCGGAGTCGACTACTGCAAAATTGGCTATTACAAACTTGAGTAGTACAGACTCGGTCGTTACGAACGCCGCTATCACAGAGTCGACAATTATGGCCTTGACTACAACGTACTCGTCTTTAAGTGACACAGATATTTCGACCACGGCTTTTACGGACTCGGCTTTTACGGATTCACCTTTTACTGACTCGGGTTTTATGGACTCGTATGATTCCAATGCATCTGATTACAGTAATTACTATGGTGGTGAATACGATTACGGTGACAAGTATATGTACACTGGTTACAGTTTTGAAAGACCTTTTTACCTGTACATCTTGGAGGTTATATCTATTATAACATTTCTAGGAAATCTCGTAGTTATATCTGTGCTGCTACGTAGAAAGATGCGTAATCCGACAAATATGGTCCTAACCACCATTGCTGTTACCGATTCGTTAACGGCACTTGTGGTGCTACCGACTTATATCATGGTGTATACAAGATATTACTCGTTAAGTGATGAAGGTTATGAGAATGATTATGATGATACTAACTTTACAGATGCAGACAATGGTAATTATTACAGTGGATATCACAACGATGGTGCAGTGGATGGATGTGAACTTACAGAAAATCTTTGCAACGGTTTCATGATTTCGAAGTACTTCTTGTCAAAGTCGTTTCATTCAATGTCGATTTTTCTTACACTGTTCCTTGGTATTCAGCGATATATTTCCATTCGATTTCCATACAAATCACAAAGCATGCTAAATTTACCAAGAACAATCGTGTGCTGCGGAGCTATCGTGTTCTTGTCACCATTTTTGCACATTTATCATCTGTTTGGTACAAGGGCGCTTGGTGGAAACTGCCAATGGGAACTTTCGGAGGACGGATGTGGCACAGGTTGTATATATCTGTGGTTGGCATTTTTCATACGTCATTTTACGCCGTGTATGATCCTCGTAGTGTTTACCGTACTTTTCATCAGGCAGTTACACGCAGGGGAGAGAACTCTCCGCAGAATGGAAAGCAGCCAATCACAAATTTCGAGACGAAAGGACGAAAATAGGCGAATTTCTCTCGTTGTTACGGCCGTGGTCGTAGTCTTCCTGATACCGGAAATACCATACAGTATATTTCTTTTATACAATGCATTTGACAAGGCAGTGAATCAAGGAAAAGGTATAGACTTAGAGGCAAATCGTGCCATAAACTTAGTCTATGAACTCTTTTTAGTTCTCTCCTTCCATGCCAATATATACATCTATACTTTTTGTAACAGACGATTCCGAAGAGCCCTTTTAAGGGTTTATCTAAATCCCGTCAGGAGAATTCTGGGAACTACAGAGATTTTGTCGCAGTCGTCATCACTTTCCCATAAACCTTCAAACAGGAAAACAGACACCGGAAGCGGCATTACGCAGACTGAAATGAAGCCGATGGTTAAATCAGTGCCTTCGAACTAACCCTTAATCAGCTTGAACAAAAACTATAAACCTTTTCCACCAGTATAGAGCCAGGACAGCTTGCATATTCTTGCAGTGTGACAAACCTCTTTATTTTGATGGTTATTTATTTTGCTGTTATTTGATATCAAAATCCTGTAAGCTTTGAATCGGTTTATCCATAGTTAAAGAAGAGCAAGTTCATTACACACATCCAGCAGGTGAAGCATTTTGCAAGAAGAACTTACTAGTAATCGAATGTTCAAATGAAACGGGAAAATGACAAATTTTATGTTAGGACATTGATTGCTTCAAACAAAATGAGCTGGTTTAAAGGACACTCGATATTCTAAGCATCCAGTGGTCACTGGTTACACAAGGTTGCCCGTTCAACCATCATATATACTTTTAGTTATTAAGATGTTTTGATGAGTTATATGGCCCTATTAAAACATATATTGCTAACAACCGTTTATATATGGCCATATAACCTGTCAGGAATATTAATGATATAGCAAATCTCTTTTTTTAGAGATCAAAGTGAGATTTCTTCATAAATTGACAGCAACCATGTATATAAAACTCTATAAACATCAAGACTATCCAATGAAAAGCGACGATACATCGTGCAGTATTATAAGTGTATGTTATTATATAAGCACGAATAAATAGCTCATTCTTACACAGTTTTATGTGATAACCCTGTATATACCAATATAAATGTAGTACAAGGCATCATGTTTAGCTCTCTGTTGTGACTCATAGTTATTCGTATTAAATACGAATTAATTATCATAAGACACAATTGTAATGTGTTCGATAATCTGAATGACTTTTACATGGAACACATTTTTCAAACATGTAATAAGCATGTTTGACGTTGGGCTTATGAGTGAAATTGGCATAAATGAATACACTAATTATCTATGCGTTATAGTCTAGATTTTGGTTTGTTAGAATTACAAATGTGCTTACGTAATTTACAGGGTTTTGCAATGTCCTTTTTTGATAAATGTACATATTATGTTTACACATCTCAAATATACCTGTATATCTTTGTGAATGTGTTTTAGTATTTGAGTTTATTTATACTCGCGGCCGGTTGCCCATATGGGCGAGTCTTCCAGAAGAGTATTAGTCATTTTAGATTTTGGAGGATAGTGCAAGATAAAGATACAGAAAGATGCCCCAATTCTAGAAGTATCTCCTGGTTCTTAAGCGTGTCAAGTGTCAAGCTTTCATACATTGGACCTCGATTTAAAGTCTCATCTAATTAGTAATTTAAGTTGGCCAGCCCGGGAAAACCCTCAAAGTCGAAATTACAAGTCTCGCGCTCTAACCGTTTGAGCTATGTTTCTGATCAAACCATTTTATGCTCAATTTCTTTAATAACGTTAAAAGGGGTTTTTGAACATGTAAGATGCTTATCATCTAACAAAAGTTACGCTAAATGTAAAATTATTTTCAAAAAATAAGAAAATGTAAAGAAAGTCATAACAATAATAAATTAAAAGGCTTTTGAAAAAAACCCATCTTTTAGAACATTTCTGTGCCTGTCTCGTTACACATTTAATACTGTATAATAGTGTCCAAAGTCTATAGCAATTGCAAACCCTATACAAAGACAGCAATTTTGACCTTTTCATCGCAACAGACGAACAAAAACAAAAAAGAAGCGTGTGATTGTCAGACATAATTATATTTTACAAACATTGTCTTAAATAGCAGATTATGCAGGCGATGATAAAATATGATTATTATTGTATAATTATTATTATTATCTTGTTTTAGATTTTTAATTTGACTTTGAAACACATCAGATACACTTATGATAACCCTTACATGTATACCATATCCCGTAACTACTCGTGTTTAAAACCACATCATCAACCGTTACTTACTGACAAGAACGTCATTCCAGAGAACATCCGTGTACAAATTGTACCGATTTGGAACAACATCTTCAAAACCTTCCTAGAAAAAGTTGGGAATCTGTTATAACATATGGGTTATTTCGTAACGTGTAATTGCGTCCGGTGATAAATAATATATACTAAGTCTTGCTTTAGATAAATATATAGTCTTGTTGCATTGTACAGTTTCTTTTCTCTTTTCTTCTTTGTTAATTTGATATAATTTTTAAACTTTTAAAATTTCTGCGATTTGCTTTAATATAAAAACTTACTTTGCTACATGAAATTACAGTTAAGATTAACTTTAGTTAAGATTATAATAAATATGAATTGAAAAGAATTTCTCATTGTGTTAAAACATTTCAAACAAAATTCGTCGTTAAACGACAGTTAAGCAATCAGTTTTGCAATCAGTTTTTTTTTTCAATATCATATCTTATAATACAAAATATGTATGTGCTATTTGTAGGGTTATTATTTATCTTACGGAAATATTAATTAAGTATAAGTACTTCCGGCAGACTGAAGGACGAAAATAGTCGTATTTCTATCGTTGTTATAGTTGTGATTGCAGTCTTCTTAATACCCAAAACACTTGAAAGTTTATTTCTTTAATACAATGCATTCGGCAAAGAATCCAACCACGGTAAACAAATCAGACACAAATCGCGCCAAAAATTTAGTCTACATACTCTTATTAGTTGTCTTTCCATGTCAATATTTATATCTACAGCTATTTTAATAGACGATTCCGTAGAACGCTGTTAAGTTTCGTTCTCAATCCCGGGCAATGCAAACATTTTATCTCAAACATCATCGATTTCCCACAAACTTTCAAACATGAGAAGAGGGACGGGAAAGACACTGGCGTAGATCAAAATGAAAAGCGATGGTTAACTCGGCTTAAGCAAGACAAACTTAGAAGAACGTTTAAGTAAGAGGAAAGTCATGAACATTTTGTACAACTACCTAAAGTGTTCTTTGCAATATAAGCTTTACAACAGAAGTTTCTTGTATTATGCAATACGATCGGTAATTACACCCCAAACTCTATATCGATGGTTAATTAAATTGCTTAATATGAATCACACGAACAATACAAATGTAAGCATCAGCAACACATAATACGGTCACCAACATTATCCAGCCAAGAAAAACAAGTCTATGTAAACAATTACCCCGGTAAGGTATGAAACATTTAATTTGTGAAGGACCATTAAGCGAAGCTACATGTAAGCTTCCTTCCATCGTTTTTAAATGTCATTTTATAAAATCAACTCTTTGCGATGTATCTTTGTGTTATGTTTTGAGGAGGTAATTAATGTTTTTAAAACACATCGGCGGATGTTCATAAATAGAAAAAATGTACTATTTAATTTTAAATGCTAAATTCTGCTTAAGTAGATTTAAGGGGACGTGGAGGTAGCTTGCACTTTTCGTTACCGTCAATAAACAGGCTAAATCTAACAGAGCCTTCATTTTCGCCGCTTCGTGCGTTCTTAAAATATTGTTTTTTCTTTTTTTCCTACAATGCAAAAACGTAACCTGAGATGGTTCTCTATTTGACCCAGTGGCATAATGTAAATGTAAAGGTCTAAAAGACCTTGTACCACAATTTAATACATTTTCTTTACTCCACTTACGTCCAAAAGACTCAAAGGTTAAAACTAGAATTTTTTAGTCTACTTTTTTTCAACCAATAGCAGCTATTTTTTACTCGTATCTTGAAATACGTTGAAGTCTTCTGATGACTTACGAGTTAATAAATAACAAAGTCTTCTTGTCTGTCATTCAAGCAGAAGTTATCGGCTCTTCATTTGTTTTTGTCGTGAATTGTTCACATAGATTTTTCCTGACTACATCAAACGAAATAATTGATTTTACTGATAGATGAAGAGATAGATATGTCATAATTTTTATCAATATTATGTGCAACCACAACAGTAACATTCAGGAGCTGCATATGAAAATCACCATCACCGATCCCGTATACATTACTTAAATAACTAGACGAATTACGGTATTCGTGTAAAGTAGTATGAATAGTGTTATGTGTCATGGAGAAGAAGCCGAAACAACCGCAAAATGATATCTTTCAGTGATAACTATAATTTTGGTTCAATGGGTCATTTATGAACAGATTCCGATGAGTTTTAAAATTTCTTTTGAGAGTTTTTAATGAATCGTCTTCGTTATATACTACTTATCGCTACGCTTGCTTATACAAATACAAGTGGTTTATTGTAGAAAATGTATAAAGAAAAGAATTTTAAACATAAAAAAGCAAATCATGAGATAGTGAGTTATTGTTTGAGACATTTATTGCGGAATGAGTGATATATAGGTAACATAATATGACAAAACGATTTACTGTCAGGCAATAAACTATGATCCCACCCATGATTCTTTGACATAAACAATCCTAAAGAACGAGGTATTTTTGACATTAATGACTGTTCATCTAACAGTAATGATACCTGAAAATCGTATACGACTAAAACGTGTAAATATAAAACAGATTTGTATCCAATGTAATGAATTATTCATCGTTTATTTCCAAGAAATAGATTTTTTTTTAATTCTAAGTGCATAATTGCAGTTTTAGGATCTTCGACTTTTACATAACTGCACTTTTATAACGTCAAATTTCAGAGGACAGCCCTAACGATAACATTGTTTGACTTAAAGTAACATGCTTATTTTGTATTTTACTCTAAAGAATGAGATTGTTTGGTGAATTTTATGAATTCGTTATAAAGGCATTTGCAAGGTTAGATGACCGTATGTTGCATACACACCGTTGTTTGCTATGTAACCTATCCACCACAATTAAAGAAGTATGACCAGACATTCCTAAAAAATCAGATTCAGTGCTATGAAGAAATTTAGAACAAACAACTTATGTTTTGTAAACAAGAATAATACAGTTTAATTACATATACAGATATAGATTGTCTGTACTGTATCAACTATGCCAAAATTACGGCTTCGTGACAAAGGGAATACTTTAACCACAATAAAGAAAATATTAGCGACTGTAAGCATGGTAAGTACTCGAAATTTTGAAAATTTCCATTTCAGGTTGAAAAAGTCACTCATGTGTGTATTGTTTGGGCAAAATTCATATAATTCACTTGATGTACATGTATAAAACATGGCATGTTTGAAAAAAAACGCCTAATGGAATAAATAAATAAAAAGAACATTGAATGAAAAAAAAACAACGGTGAAATGCAAAAATAATTATATAATTTTCAAAACAGTAGATAAATATCGAACATAAAAGCACAGTCAATCAATTAATTAGCCTTAATTAAAACCTATCCAGGGACTGACAATAGAATTTAAGAATGCCTTTCACGGAACATGCAAACTTTCCTTGATACAGTACCGTCGGTAATTGTCGCAATTATCAAGAGCCTAACAACAATCATTTTCAGTTTTTGTTTTTTTTTTATATAAAAGGTGTCGAAAATTAAACTTAATGAAACAAAAAAGGATTATTATCAAAAATTTGTAAACTATTTCAATTGGTGTAAATGCAAGCAAAGGCTATTTTTTCTCGAAATCTTGCGATGACAAAGATCGATATATATAGCGATCAAGGCGATTAATCTCTAAAAAGTAAACACCCGAAGACAATTAATGCTGTTTCTTGGTTAAAATCCTGGCTTAAAGTCATAAAATAACATATGCATTTTCGACTTCCATAAAATTTTGAAAAGTGCCGTACGGCTAGCCAATACAGCGTGTCCTTGCTAGTTGTACGTGACTCACGTACGGCTAAAACTTTTGGCTAGCCGTACGGGCCCGTACGCTAGCCACTTCCATTATCAAAACCCTACTAAAACGTGTTCTTAATAGTACATATAATTAATTTTTTGCAGTTTGATTCTGACTTTCAAAGTTAAAGGTGTGAACATATTTGATGTACACATTTCAAAAATGTAAGCAACTCTTTTGAAAAGTAAATTGTTAACATGTCTGTCAACGTATGATGCTGCGCATCGTAATCGTAGCCTAATATTAACTGCAGGCAAATCATTTTTATTGGCTGCTCAAAAATCTGATTTGCATAATTTATTCACACAATTGCTGGTTCTTACTACTTATGTCTAATACTGAGCATTGTCCATTCTAATTGTTCAAATGCTCCTGTCACACTGTGTACTGACGATTTTTATTGCTCCTTGTATGCTTCTGTGCCGACAGACCTTTTGATCATGCACAATGTTGCCCTGATTGGTTAATCACCCTTGTCAAATATTCTAATGACGAAATAGACATCTATTTTTTTACGCTTCATCAGTGAACTGAATGACCTTAGGGGAAATTCGGTTCCACACCTGTCAAATTATACTGTAGTAAATTACAGCACGTCATAAAATAGCAACACATTTTTTTCAGTTACCAATAATCATTTTAAATATTAAGTAGATTTATGATTTTTTGTTTTATTGGTTTAAATTTACGGTAGTAGAAATGAGTATCTGTCGGGGAAAGGAATTTGGTAAGTAGATAACGTGGGAAAAGCTTTAGGGAACTGGATAAACCCGAGAATATGCGTAATTATAGGGGAATGGGCAACCTGTTGCTGTTGGTACCAGTTTTGACTAGGTGCCTAAATAACTTTACGGACAGTTTTGTTTTCATACGATATAAGTCTGGCTGCCGATTTTCCTGCGCCTTTCTCATTTTTAGCGTCAATGGCGGAAAATCGCGTAAAAGTAAATTTATGGTGTATCTTTGAAAATTAAGCAGTCATTGCTTAAATCATGTGGTGGGATCATCAGCAAGCTTGAATATCGAACAAATGATAATTAACGTCGCGGCGTCTTCAATTAATTAATTAAAGCAATTCAGTTCCATATGATGTTTTCATAAATGATATATAATGTACGCAACAAAATTAATAAGTTCTTCATCAAGATATATTTCAGTTGTACCAGCGTGTACACCTATACCGGAAGTGGGTATAACACGTCACAATCTCGGTCTCGTCTGTCTCGCGAGAATGACAGAACGCCAAAATGGCGGCGCTCATGAACTTATTTCTCAAGTGAAAAATAGTGTCTTTAAACACGAATTTCTCTCTTATAGGGTTGATGTCAATAGGAAAACTGTCATGGTTCCTCTTTTTAAATGATGAATATTTATATAAGACAGACATCAATCCATCCATTCTTATTCCTTTAAGTTGGAAAATAAACGAAAAAAAGCAACAAAAAAAAAAAAAAACAACAAAAAAACAACCAAAAAAAACAAAAAAAAAAACAAACAGAACTTTGTTAAGGAAGAGGAAAATCAGTTACATATTTTGAGGTGTACAAATATAAATATGACTATTGTTGATTTGGAGCTTGATAAATTTAAAGTATACAAAAACTGTATAAATTTCGTTAAATTCAATTAATGATTGTACTTTAAAACATCAAAGGTATCAACCACCAGGTAGGTATTTAGACAGCACTAGTAATACTTTCAGTCGTAGACTTGCTAATTCAATGATGTCTGATGATTCCCAGGCTATAAAAGCCAACTGGATATAACATTTGTTTTATTAAGCACCGGAAGGGAAAAAACTGTTTATTGCTTGGATGGAATTGAGTCGCTGTTTATATCATTCTAAACACTGCATTTTTGAGTCTTAAGACTTTGACTGTTTTAATTAATAAGTTAACCCCCTCGTAGACTTTATTTTTTGCTTTTATTTGTTAGACAGTTATCAGACACGATTCAATTACGCAAAAGCGATTGATGTCTAAAAACTGTTGTTGTTTTTTCTCTTGTAAACAAGGATCGAAGGGAAGTTTCAATTTTCAAACATTTTTATTAAAGATGTGCTTCTACTGAAAGTCAAGGGCATATTGGAACAATTTTCAAGTCTGATTCTGAATAACCGATTCTTGTTTCCTAGAAGTAAACATGTTTATAATCCGAATAGGGCTCACACGTTGGAAGTCAAAAATCACCGCTGGGTTATTTGTTTTTTTATTCTTCTTATTTTTGTTTAAATTTCTTTTCTGATTTAAAATTTATTCAGCTTATCTTTGTTGATGGTTATAACGAACAGGTATGAACATATTATTATGCTCGACGTTCAACATATAGTAGAGTCATGGCATTAGAAGCACCATTAAACCTGCTGTTTGTTTAATTTCCTGTTATTTTTGAGATTTTTTTTATAATTGATAACATTTGTTTTATATATCAGGCATATACACAATACATTAACAGAGATTAAACATTCATTTCATCTGATCTTTCATTATTAATTGTTTAAAAATGATGGTTTGCTCGGAAATATAACGTTTCCAAAAAGGCTTCAAACACTTAATTGTAATTACATGTAGAAGGATAAATATATAATAAAACGTTTATGATTTTGATAGAGGTTTGGAGCGTAAAGGCTAGGAATTAGCTAATTTAAAACACATTATAAAATATGAAAAAGTTAATGAGTATAGAAAAAAAAGAATAACACACCAAAAAACTTTAAAAGAGAATGTGCATTATTTTTGAAATTGTTGATGTCCATGTGTTGTTGACATCAATATAGCTTGTTACGGCAATGCGCTATCCACAATAGGTCTTTTTTAGATGTTTAGTTAAAAGTTACGTGTGTTCGCCGACTTGTACTATTACTCATTTTGAATAATTATAACCAAGCCATTAGATAGGAACTTACCATTGACACTTGAAAGCATTTTTGATATAATTTACTGACAATTTCGTATACTGAACATGAATTTACAAATGTACGATGAAGCTACTACATTGAAATAGAAACGCATATCGTTTATTTGTAATATAATTATAATGGTTTTGCTTACACGATAAAACCTTATTCTTTGAATTTATGAATGATATCACGCTGGTAAATTTTGTAGGAAAACGTTGCATAGACCACATCCTTCACTTTGTTATAAAAAGCCGAGCATTGTTCTCATATTCTGTGTAATACGAAGCTCTTTTGCATATATTTTTTAGATTATTTTCTGTTTAAACTTGCAAGTCACAAACATTTCATGTTTTGAACCTTAGGCATTATATTCAGAATAAAAATTGTGTAGAAAAATAGTCATAAGATAAGATAGGATAACATAACAAAAATAACATAACAAAATTTTTATTGGCATTAAACAGTACATTTATGCTTCAATATAGCCATACACTGATTCATGATGGTGAACAGAAAATAATGAAACAATATAAATTTCGTTTCAGAGAAGGAAGTTTTACAACGATTTGCTATAAGAAGCGTTTGTTTACTTTAGTGTATGCTAATAAAATATATGAATAAAAACATAAGAATTAACAACTTTTTCTATTTCACTTGTGATTTAAAAAGCACGGTAAATGAATTCCATTGTATTTCAATATTTTCTTGACACGAGATTTTCAAATTCTTATATACACTGCTAACATTAGAATATTTGTGTATGTCCATAAATTCTTTCAAATGAATGAAAATGGAAGAATGACACTGTCATGAAATTCTATGATGTAATTTAACTCACTAGCGTACTCAATCCAGTAACTGTTGTGGTGGTCTTTTGTTGTTGAAATGAAATTATTTAATTGATAACATGTATGTGTAACTAGATAAATAAAGTTTATCAGGTCTCTCTGGAATGCGTCTTGTTTTTACCTGAAACATGAAAATATTAAGATATTACACGAAATCAAGAAAAATAATAATAATAGAGAAAATAAAAACAAATAAATAAATAAATTAATTAAAAATAAAAAAGTTTTTAATTAATAAAATATGTAGGATATTAAAGGTCACATTAAATAAAAATGCAGGCATCAAAAGATTAAAAATCAAATTCAAAGACAGGATCAAATTCATATTTCACAATACCCGGTTAATGCTAATACTTTATGCAGTTCTGGATAATAAATAAATATTTTAATGTCAACCTATAGTGATACGAATTGATTGAAAATTGAAATGCTTTAACACTTTCGATATCACTTTGCACGATATGTGTATTTATAAAGTAGTCAAAAATAAGGATCATGGTCTTACTTTTATTGGAAATGTCATTATCTCCATTTTGGATAACATTATGAAAATTTTGAAGAACGTCAGCCTTGGCTTGTTCGACTTTGACGGTTGGCAGAAGTCAACTTTTTATTTCAGCAGGTAAATGGTTAAAATGAGATGGTCTTATTGCAAACAACAGTTACATACATTTCAAATATGTTTGAACTAACTAGAAATTTATGTTCTAATAAATATTTTACCTTTTCTTTGACGTTTATCTTTTCTATTTCTTTTATTACTTTTATTGTTTTTAGAATTTTTCTTTATTTTAGTTGTTATCCCTCTTTCTCGACATGAGAGGTATCCATTTTTACATCGACTGAAAAAGGAAACAAGTCCATTTGGTTGCATAAAGAAGTCTTAAGAATAAATAGCAATATTTTGCGTTTGTTCAAGTATGCAAAATACTTATGCAATATTGAAGTTATCATAAAATGACAGAAACTCTTTCCCGTTTTTCGATTAATTCATTCGACATGTATTAGGTATTTGAGTGAAAGAAAGCAATAAAATATTATTACAAATATATGAAATATGTTTGTATATTAAGCAGTTTAGATAAAACAGAAATAAATGTATTTGGTGGCTATGAAAATATAAATTATTTGTAAATTTTACATAAAGCAATCAGTTAAAGTCAATAAACCTTTCCCCACGAATATGACCATGACTAGCTGATGGAAAACAGGATGTTTTCTTTCTATCTTTTTTTGGCATAGCGTGTCACCTAACGCCATAACCGGCCAAATTTCTATATCAAAGAACGAGAAGCACGAAAAGACATAGACAATGAAAAGGGTCTATGAGTAAACAAACTAAATATTTTGCATTTCATTTGACAATTGCATTGTCAATTGACAATATACTTTCAATATAGAAAAAAACTTTAGAGGTTTTAATGAATTGTCTGACAAGAACAAATAGGCACAGATAATAGATTCATTCGGACTGGTGCTGCATGTTGAAACTGCAAAATTAATATTATATGTTTAATAGGATCGATATAAATCAAATTATTGATTTTTTTTTCAACTACAAAATCATAATGGAATATTCTTTATTTTCTTAATTAGGTGGATATGTTATCTTTTTGCAGAATATGATTTTACTTTCCACAAGTAAGAATCAAATGTCCAGTTCAAAGAATCACAACATTACGCTTTCATTTTCAGAGTCATTTATACTACTATCGATAACATGGCTTTAAATCATAACATTTCTACAGTAATAAAAGGATGTTTTTGACTTACCAAAATTTATCTTTCAGTTGTATTTTTGCACCATGTAATAATATAACATCGTCAACTGCGCATGTCTGTCTCTTTTTCAATGATGATGTAATTACAAAATTCACTTCTTCTTGGGAATCTTCAAAATAACAATACAAAAAGGGATATACAATAATCCTCGAAACTGTTGAAATATGGAGTGGGTCAAATCATTAAAAATAATAATAATTATTATTATTATATAAAAAGCATGGACTGACATTCAATGTGCACCATTTTGGATGCAACATGCCAAAGCATTCATTAGCATTATGTCACTTGGCATTGATAAATATTATGACATTTAACATTTTCATTGTATATTTACTTCATGTGAACCTTCAAAATCGTCTACCCGTCCATATATAATATTGTAAGTCTTACATTTTTCAGCGTTATGTTTTACGCAATAGCCACTGTTTGGTATTCCATCCTTTAAATTTCCAGGATCGGTCACGTGACAGAAATATCCCTGGGGGCATAATAGAGGGTCCTCGTCAGATTCAATGGGACTGGTGCTGCATGTTTCAACTGTAAATATTATATGTTTAATAGAACCATTATAAACGCTGCAAAGAATACACCGCGTGTTTACTTCTTTGGGGTAAAATCAAAACGTGTTTATTTTTATTAGTCATGTTTTGAAACAATATTATTGTCTGCTTTGTTGAAGAAAGGGGAAACTATGTTGATGACCATTTGTTCACTTACTCGATATTGTCCTATACTTTGAAGGGAAGATCTCCCGAGAGCCAAGTAGTTGCACATCTCAGACAGGTTTTTTTTGTATCTGATGGGCAATAAAAGGTGCAAGAAACACCCTGACTAGCACAGGCTTAAGGAGTTATTGGCAACGGTTTATCCATGTGGAAAGACGGACCATGAACCAGAATCAGGATTTATATTAATATTTCAAATCTGTTCTATTTTCAGTTTCAAAACTAACTTAATATTGTGAAATTTCGCAACAAAACTAGTAATCTCTTAACATATGAGCGTACGAAAAATGGGTAGAAATTTTTACCTGACAATGTAAGTATATCTTAGAATAATAAACAAAAGTGAAATAACAGTACACTTACCTTCATTTGAGGACTCGTCAGTTATTGGTTTGTTGATCAACCAGGATATTCCTTAAAATCGTATACAAATAAAACATTTTAAATAGTCAATCAATTGTCATAATAGATTTTAAACGTTGAAATTGTATTTGTGACCAAATTAATTGTAAATGTTTTGTAAAAAATTAATCACGAGTTCTGCCCTGTACCTTTTAACACTAACACCTGATAAAAAGTAAAATAAATATATAAAATCGTCATTCCGTAAAAAAATGAAGTACAAATTATTAGTGTCTTACCAGATCTTGATCTTCTTGGTTCTTTCCGCCAGTCTACAACTATGGAAGAAAGACACGTATTAAATAACCCATGATAAATAAAACCAGCGCAATGTTTAGAATATTAACTGAGATGTAAGATGTAAAAAATAGAAACAATTTGAATATACTTTTTAAAGCACTCTTAAACTTAAATAAAGAATATTGTTTGGCCATTTTAACAGTCAAGGAACGTAAAGAGACTAATTCAAAACAAAAATAGAAAACAGATTTATTTATTCTTTAATTTCTATAACCGTGTATAAAAGATAATTTTGAGAAGGAATCAAATAATAAGGAATTACGAGCGGCTGGTTGAACTTCACGAAGGCATGTAAAGGAGCAGCCGGTAAAACAACATCTGTACCCATCCGAACAATCGGTATCTTTTTGACACGAATTGTGTGCGCATGCGTCATCTGACACAACATCCGGAACCGGTGGACAAACATCTTCCGACGCCATATTTGGAGCAGCAGGAGCATCTGATTGATAATCGTCATAATATATCTGAAAAAATATAGACAATTATTACTGTAACAGATATATATAAGCACATGATAACTTTTTATCTGACGTATGCCTACTTCCGGTTTCACAGTGAAAATTATCAAAATATAATTTCACACTTTTCAATGACGAGACAAATTTCCCCATGTGATACCTCAATTTTATTTTTGCTGACAATTCTGACATTGTCAGAGCTGTATAGAGAAAAGCAAAGCTTGAATTGATAAATAACTTAAATTTCAAAAGTAATGCAAAGAAAAAACTATCTTCAATTCATTTAAACTACCAATCACCAAATATCGTCTCTAAATATTTGTTTTGTTTTTACAGTATGAAAAGTACATTTTCTTCCATATGCAAAACTTCTCTTGATGACTTTTGGGCATATTTAAGTATCCTACGAGTAATAATTGCCTAATGCAATAAGAAAACTTGAAAAGCAATGACAGTCATCAGCCCGAAGAATAAGTAAACAACCCAGCGTTCGTAAGACAGCCTTTCACCAATTCCATTTTTTCCTGATTCGTAGCCGTTTACACATCTGTCAACAAGTATTTATTGTCTGTAACAATCCGTAAGTAACGGAAATAAGGTCGGATGGTGTGACCTTTTCTTCCACTAAAATTGTTTGTACAAGGGATCATTCATGTTTTTGGAATAAAATAAATATTATCATCGCCATTAAACGTTGAATGTCGAACTTATTTTTCAGCTCAAGACTTCTTGTAAATCGACTAAAATGAGGCTACCAGTGGGCAAAACAGATTTAAAATTAAAGTTAATTTTGAGAAAATTTCCTTTAAAACTTGTTTTTAAGCATACAATAAAAAGAGAATTTGTTCTTTTGTTGTGTAAGATGTGATTTTATTTCTTCGAGTGAACTTTAAAAACAAATATTCTCACTCGTGGCCACGACACTCGTGAGAATACTGTTTTTTAAGCTCACTCTATGAAATAAAATTTCATCTTACACACAACAAACAAATATCTCCTATATATTTCTTTTCATTTTGGTGTAGTATCTATTTTTGAACTAACATGGTTCACTTTGTACGTTTGGATCATGTTCCTTATATTTATTTCTTTGTACGATTATGGCTTACGATATTCCCAAGTTAAACTGTATCCATAAACATACTTTAAATTTTACAAATATAACATATATTGAATAAAGGTACAAGTAAAAATACAAATGCAAATTGAATATTGCAAATGTGACTTAAGTCATGAAAATATACAGATATTAAATAAAAGTATTAAACTAATTATGAATATGAAATAACTATTGCTTATTGTATCCTCTTCGATTAAAAAAAGTTAAAATATTTATTCTGTTTGGCGACTTGACAAATTAGTTAATTAGTGCAGGTGTTTTATAATAATCTATTTAGACGTATTATGTTTGAATGTCACAAAAAGAGTCCACTTAGACACTATCTTTAAATATTTTGCACGTTGCCTCACATTCCAATACGAGCTAGTTATTGATATGTGACCACAATAATCTCAACTTATTTATACCCTTTAATCCACTACAATATATTCTCTTACCTTATAAAATCATTTAATGAATGTTTAAACTTGCGTATATTATACTTGAACTAGTGTGTCATATTTTCATACCGTTCAATAAAAAAGGACAAAGTGAAATATATTTTAATTTAAGATTTACAATATCATTATTTAGTTGCCAGCAATTATTATCTGCATTTTCTTGATCTTAATTTCGACATTCTATGTTTTAGAAAAATAGGTTTCTTTGTATTATTTTAGTGTTGTTTTCCACAAAAGGTGCATTCTTGATAGATAAAGGCATTTTTTGTAAATATGAACTATAGATTTTACCAAAGTGCACTGAAAATTCAAACATATGTTCAATAAAATATACAAATGAATCAGAGACACTATGAATATGTTTTATATTTAACAAATTATACGGTTTTACTACAAACAAAAAAAGAAGATTTTTTTTCAAACAAAACGGATAAATAATCCATCATATATTTAATAAACCTTCTATAAGTCGAGCAAATATAAAAATATTATTTAATATATGAAGTTCAAACGATACAAATGCACTAGACAGCAGTCGTAAATTCCCTATAGTAATCTGTTGATTATATTTCAGACAAAAATATGCGCGTTTTATCTCAGCGGGGATGTAAATATGCAGATTCCTGTCAGAATCAGCAATTTAAGAGACGTAAAGGCTGCTACAAGATAATACATTTGTTTTCTAACACCTGTTAATAGACATTTTCATGAAATTACGAGCAAGATATTCGTCGCTTTTCGATGTTGTTCTATTAATTTGGCTGGTTTGGATGAAAATTAATCTGACTTACATATTTTTTTTCTGGCAATTCATAACTTATATTTAAAGCAGTAAAGGAAACTACTGTTATATCTTTTGAAACTAATTCATATTTCTATATCATTTAATTAAATAAATGTCCCTGTAATTATATTTCATTTTTATTTTTTAACTGACAGACCTTTCCTTCCTTTAAAACTTGTACAAATTTAGAAACATCCTAAAAGAGATAAACAATCTGTACCCACAATAATCATTTCATTACGCAAAATGACCCAAAAATTAAATGCGTTGCAAAGCTTCTCGTTACCATCGGGCCAAGAATCGCACTTAAACCGATATTCAATTTAGTTAAGAATAAAGAATTCATTTGTATAGTTCTAATATTTTTTTCCACTCTAAGTGCTTCATTTGATTTATATAAGAATTCCATTTTTAGGCCTTTGACCTCATCATACCTTCTGCAAAGCAAAATTCACAATATTCATTTATACCCTATTTAATTTCATCTTCATATTAAAAAGTTTATATTATTTCTTTTATAAAGTTACTTACAAAAAGAAAATAGCTTTAAAATCTACAATAAAACATTATAACACAACACGTGATATTCTTAACATTGCTTGCATTTGTCGTTAGTGGAGCTAACACGCTACAAAATAGATTTTTGAAAGAGAGTATTCACATTCAGAATATCAATTACAAAGCACATGTTTTATTAATTTCGCCGGGCAAATCACAGGTTTTTTTCTGAATCGACAATGACAGAACCTTCTTTAAGCATTGTAAGTAAGTAAGTAATTTGCTCCTATAGTCGACCATTGTAAAAAAAATACAAAAGACATGACAAATTCGAATGCACATCATTTAAACATTAAAGTGATATGCACAAGTAAATATCTCAGTAAAACAAAATATCAAAAAAGATTCTTAATATCTATAGTAACGGTTATCTAAGTTTTAAGATTTTAAGTTTTTTTTTCATTTAAATTGTTAAAATCTATACTTAAAAGTTTAAAACAAACTTCACTTTGATCTTGTGTATAAATTGTAGAGAAGGCGCAGACGGTTTGTTCTAGTTGGCAATCTTTCCATCAGACAATTGTCAATAAACATTTTATGTTCGCACATCTATCTTAAACGATTGACCTTGAGTAGGATTTACAATAACACATAGTTTTGTCTGGCGATAAGGAACCTCAGTGCGTTTAGCGGATTTACAGGGTAACAAAAATGTTTCATGGTAGAACTATCTTTCATCGCTTTGTCTCGTTTTGTGTTACGTTTCTTCATTCATTTGTTTAATTTAAGACTTTAAGATTTTTTTTACTTAAAATGTTTTTATCGCTGCATGAATATATATTGCTTTTTAAGCTGAGGCAATAAGAAAGTACATGCTGTTAATTTATACTGAAAACTCAAATGAGCTTAAATATTAATAGCAAACAAACGTAAACACTCAATTTATGAATTAAACATTATAATATCATATCAAAAGTCGTGGCTTTTTTTGACGAAACAAATAATACTTTATGGCCCGCTGCACGCAAGATTCATTTTGAATAGAATTTACACAGTTTCTGTAACATAATTATTTGATCCATTCTTGTTTAGGTATGGTGTCCTGGAAAGGCAATTTTCAATAGCCGTGCAAGAATTGTCAATGTGACATATATAGATAAACCGTTATAAATATAATAGACAGGCGAAGTCTGATTTAATACTTATATCCTCGTTACGTGGAATTGTGCTATGCTGAATCAATAATAAATGTCCAGTGTAATTTTTAAGGATTTCGTTAAAAAAAGCAATAAAATTTAAACGTTGTCAGCGTTTAAGCAACAGAGTCTTCTTTAAAAATATATAAGACTGCAATTTAATAATTTCCTTTGAACTTTTTATTCAGTTAAATTATACTGATAAACTTTCAAGTATTGCAGCGTTAATGTATTCTTTTTACATTATTGTTGAGAAAGGAAAATAAGTGTGAATACAATTTTATAAATAAATTAATAAAAATAAAAGGACTTCCATTTTTAGTAGAAGCCTTTAATATTTCACTTCATAATATTCTTACCGCATCTACGAGCCATTTTTCAGGAACATTTTCATCTGTTTTCCCTTGATCGCTTTTGTTTTCTTCATTTAATCTACTCCTTTCTCTGAATCTAATTCCATTTCTGTTCTTTCCTGAAAGTCTTGTTTTTAAATTAGGGTCAGATAAAATTTGTGCACCAAACAATGTCCCTGTCGTCTGAAGGACAAAAATCAACGTTAAAATCATATTTACATTTAAGAACACACTATTTTTATCACAATACCGTTTTTAATTTTTCTGAAATTAATATTATCACTGATATATTTACAAATGAACACCTTGTAAGAAATTTAGCATTGTATTCAGGTTATCCCTTTGCAAAAAGATTCGTTGAAACACTTGGATCAATTAGAATGATTTAAATATAAATATTTATCAATAAATTCCGTTAACCTTTTCAAACATCTCAAGTATTCCGCTAAAACAAAACACTGATTGAAACATAGGTGTCTATAATCCATGCCGGTATCTTCACATACCTACATTGGCAGGTATTCGTCTCGTAACTTCACCTATGCACTGATCGAGAAATTTTCTTGTTACTGTGGTAATTTAAGCTAAATTAGTCGCATTAACCCGCAACAGTCTACCTCTTATCCTAAATACACGACGTTGATAGTCTGATAAATCACCCTTGATTTAAACTAATTTTCTACCTGAGTCTTTTTATCTATGATAAAATTAACAAATAAAAGATATCGTAATTCTTTTAAGTTGCACAATAAACAATCATCCTTTACAGATTTTTAGACGAATTCATAAGCAAATTCGATGATTATTCTTAAGATATATTTTCAATCAAAACCAAATAACATTCAATAAAATTAATTAGAATTTTGGAACACAGAGAAAGAACAAACAAAGCGAGACATTTTCTTGTTTCATCGTTTAAAACCATTAAAAACACAATAAATCGACGTGAACTCCTTAAATAAGTTTTAAACAGTTTCGCGAATACATGCATAAATGCGTGCGATTATCCATTAAGCAGCTGAAATGTGCCATTTTATGTCACAAAGAAACCTTTATTTTTTTCGTGTTTGCTTTACTAAAGTTTACACAACAGTATAGTTATTCAAACTTTCAATTTTTAATTTGTTCAGGTTTGTGCGTTGGTAACTCATTCATACATGTAATTGCATGGTTAATTAATTAAATAATTAAATATTAATAAGATTAATAATAATTGCATCAAAAACCATGCATGATAAACACCGTATCATTTTAAAGAAAATGTTTGTAGTTCAACTAGGAACATACTCCGTGTTTTCTACCTCGATTAACAGAGTCCTGTTTCGAGCAACAATGGGGTCATTCGCCAATATGAAAATACACGAATTTGTCTAAGATGCCGACTAAAGTGATTGATGTAATTTGAAAAGAAAGCAAAAGAAATAATTTTAAGATTATATCCATGGAGATATATTAAACCTATTATGATATAAGTAATACAACAAATTACTTTGTTACTTTTCAACATTATAATCAGAATCAGATTCAACATGACAAAGTCAACAGAATTATTGTCCTACTTTACATCAAAATGTCATCAACATTCCTACATCATTTTCTCAAGTAGATCAAATGTCTGAACTGATGTAATCAGTATACCAGGACATTTACATGTAGTTTAGCAAATAAAGAAAGTATCATTTATTTAAACTGATTACAAAATATCCCTCTTTATTTGGACAAAATATTTTTTTTTAAAAAAAGAGAAAAAATGGATATTAAGTGCACATTGTGAACTATCACCTGTAAAAAATAAAGAATATCGGTAAATGTTTATAAGTGTTGCAGTCATTACCTGAAAATGTTAAATGGAAGATTTCAAGTTTAAAAATCACAAATTGAGGTCTTTCACAAACATCTATTACTTATTCAAATATGTATATAAAAAACTCATATATTGGTTTTTTTTATCTATTTTATTATTTATGTTACTAACTTGATAACGTAAGAGCACAAACGTAGAATTTTTTATGCTTAACAAAGAAATGTATGCATTCATTCAAGGTTTGTTATGGAAATTTAAAATAATTGCATAATTTTGGTAAAAAAATATCATTATGCCATTAAACTGTATAGCTTTCGTTCTTTATTAAATATATTGATTTTCATTTATTTACACAAAAATTATACTGTTTCCTGCTTGATTATATATGTATACTGTTTTTAAGGCGTACAAATATATTTAATTATCTTTTGAACCTTTAGCCAGCTGCTGGCAAAATGTTATACTCGTGCGAACTGTGCAATCCAAGATCATCCCGAACATGCGAATACTGTCTGCACTGTTCGCTTTCGAATCAGTATATATTTTTCCTTACAGCGATGCATGATAGAGTTCAGATTAAAAGATAAACATACCCATTTAAAATATTTAGCGTGATTGTACGGTAGTTACTAATGAACTTTCATGTTCTTACAAGTTGTGTTATAAACAATTAGATCCATAGACATTTCCAGTAGGCAATATCTGGACCAGACAATTACAGATAAACATCCTTGATCATTTAGTAATTGACCCTGGTCAATAGAGCATGTTTATTTTGGCTGCCCTACAGTTTATATCAACACATCTTAATTGTAAAAATAAACAAGAAGCGTGTCTTTACTGCTAAATATATTTTCCTGCGAATGACTTCATTCTACACTGTCTATTATATATCCTAGTATTTATTTTTCTCTTTTCATTATTATTTGCTGACATAAAGATGATGTGTTTTCTACATTAATCTCTGACATGATCATAAAACGAAATTGAGTGTATTCTTTCATCGTTTTATTATTTTTTATTAAATTTTATACTTAATCGTTTTACACATTTATGTGTGTTTCATTTCATTTTGTATTTCGGTCCGGAAGAGATGAATTACATTTTTACATTCTCTTACTTTATGTTTCTAAATCAGACACAGATGCAAAATATGTCTGAAAAATATTAAAAATAAATACATCTAGACCCTAGTTCGATCCGCCAGTAATGCCTAATTTCTCCATGTCAATTAACTGCTGGTTAAGAAATCACGCGGTAAAGAAGTCGGTAACTTGCGATAACATGTAAGTTATCAGTAAAAGAATCGGTAAGAAGGACTAACCGCCAAGATATAACCAAAACATGTGTTAAATCGGCGTTAAATCAAACAAACCAACCAGCCAACCAAACCACTGTTGTATGTATGATTTTAAAGATTTCAAGATTCAAAATATTAAAATGAAATATTTTAAATAATCAGTTCATACAAATAAGAGCAATTATCATTAACATAAAGCATTTTGTCGTATGTTCATATCCGCAGATGTTTTGAAATGAAACCTTAATTAAAAAAAAGGTGTTTAGGTCTGCTGACGCCAGTTCTGTACCTGTGCCATGCATGAACGTCTCAGTATAATCGAGCTATCATTTCTTTCATTTTTTGTCTTTTATCTGATAATTTTTCATTTTCGGTTATTGAGAATATAACATGTGTATAAGATACATAAAATATTTCATTTGTAATACAGATTTGATACACCTACGAAGGAAACATTTAACAGATATAATAATATAGATGTTTTTGTCTCAAACCAACAGTTTTCTCTCAGCAAATTAACAGCATGGTGTCAAAACAGGTGTTTATAAAACAGATAGTTGTTACCAGTACAAAAGCTGCAGGTTGTTTAAGTCTGTTTTTATGGGTTAATTATAGGTAGCATTATTTCCGGCTGTAGAAACATTTTATATCCATTCTTATATCTTAAAATGATTTAACAAAATCAAAATCAAACATCAATTGATTTCACTCTGCTATGTTGTGTAGATTTTGAAATACATCGACGAATGCTTAAAGTTAATGTAATGTTTATATAAAAAACACTTCAAGAAAGAAAGGGATTAAACTTCAATCAAACCAAGCCTGCAACATTGTCAGTTTGGCCGTTTTGGACATTTTTTAGTAATTCTTTTTCTAATTTTATCAAGAAGAATCATTTTAAGAACTATTAGTTTACTTCTGCTTACATAGAAATAAATCTAAGTAATGGTTATAGAAATATTCATATATTGTTATATGAAAATTTGCCTTCGAATACGAATAACCGAACTCATTCTATTTGAAGATTTTGATATTCTAGTTGTCTAAAAGATACACTTTCAATGATCTTCAAAATAAAGTATTGAAAGTTTCTTAAACAAAAGAATCAAATAACGCTTTTTATACGAAAATGGTGTAAGATTATTGTTAAAGCCTTTAGAATGACATATAACAATCGTGGTCAAAATGTTAGCGTGTGCGTAAACATTGTTAGTAATCAACATCACTTTTGAATGGTTTGGCGGTGAGTGATTTTGTTTCATGAATCGTTTTCTTTCAAATATATTTTTGTAGGTATATACTAAAAATAATGTTTTTGTTAAGACATAATACTAATGCAATTATACCATATGAGCAACATTGAGCCATTTTAAGATAACACACCACTGTCTTGCATATTTATTTCAATATATATTAAGCAAAATTGTTATACGGAAAGTACTGAAATCATTATTGAAAGGTTTCCAATTAAAATCATATGTTAGGAAATCTTGTGCTGCAATGCTGTTGCAGGTGTATGTATGACATATACACACCAACAAGTTCATAGTTTATTGTCTGTAATAGTTTTGCGCAAACATCTAACGAATTATTCACCTGGTATTCTCACATAACTTTCGTTTATTTTCATTTGATTAAATTTGCGATCAAACAAAATATTAATTCTACTAATTCTCAAAACGCAGTACACATATAAACCTACCGCCGTTTGAAAATTTACGTTAATATAATAATATTGTCCACATAATCGTAATGACCCAAAGCCGTTCTTGCCTACTTTCGAGATGGTGTCCCATTTTGACGCCCTTATTTAAGAAAATATCAGTATGACAGCTTGCAATACAGTCTCGTTCGGCTCCATAGACATTAAATCTACACGCTTTTATATATATAACTTTAAGAATGCAAAAACTAAAAAATATGATTTACTAAGTCTTACGCCACTTTTATGGAATGACATGAACGGCAATTTGAAGGTTCTGTTACAGATTTTTTCAAGTTTCACTGTTTTTGTAACCTGCTCTTTTCATAACTTCCCTGAATAGGCTTAACGAAATAGAGCCTGGAACACTTTCAATTTTATCGTTTTGGGTGTTCTTAAGGGATTCTGTACGCTTTGGCCGACATTTAAGTTGCATTTATTACATTAACATGGAATTCATGGTACAGGGTAAATGTGAAATAACAGTACCAAGATGTTAATATAAGTTACGAAAATAAAACCCTCGAGTAATTGATTAATCACCTACCTGCAATATGACAGTGAGAATCTTGAACATTTGTACAGATATATTTATAGGATACCATAAATCTCATAATCTATTTTCAGGAGTGTAATGACACAGAAATTCTAATAAAGTTGTCATTAGAAGCTTCAAAACAGAGGCAGATAATATTTCACACCTGTCCTTGAACAACGTATGTAGTGAGAATCTGCAAAGAAGAGGTTCCTCAAAAGCAATGAAAAAGAAAATAATAAGTGAAGATTGCAGACTCCAACTGACTGACTTGCTTGTTAAAGATATTTAAGGATTGACATTAACCGTCACTAATATTTAAAACAAGTTTACCTGATCA